TTGCCAAGCATCTTATATTCTATCTTCGTCTATTTTCGTTACAAAATATTAAAAATTCCATTTTTTTGCTACATTCTCAGAAGTATTTTACATGGAGTGAAATCCAATAAATAAATCCACAAATCCAGTCCATTTATTGCTATTGAAGACCAAATGCCATTGAATGCATGAAATTGCTATTGTAGACCAAATGCCATAATAATATAGCAAAATTTAGACCTTTTTCCATACAAAGGCTTACCTTTTGAAAGGGCGAATTGCATGGAACTTTCAGGGTTCAAAAAGTTAGCGATTTTACATCAGGCAATTTTCATATCTAAGGCGCTGTCGTAAAGAATGGTCTGTCTCATCCAATTCGATTTCCAATAAGCTTCATTCCCGCGCAAAAACAAGTCAATCTTCCAACTTTTGTTAAAGTATCATCGGCATAATAAAAGGTGGAATCAAACTTAGGTTCATCTATATTTTACTGGCATGCGTTTAAACTTAATGTATCCTGAGCAATAAATGGTGGTAGGATGTGTATAGTGGTTAAGTGAGTAAAGAGTTAAACTAGTTTAAGAATAAATTAATTTCCTAGTAATTGCAATAGCAATGTTCTCAAAAAATTGGACTTTCCTCATTGCGTTAACAAAACGAGTAAGCATTATCATTTTAAACATGTTGGAAGGGTATTGCGATCCATATATATATATATATATATATATATAAAGAGTTTATTGATCATAAAATACAAAGAGTAAAGAAATTAGTTGTATATTTTGAATTGGTGACGTTTTCTAATAAAAGTTATAGATATATGTGCTAAATCTATTATTACGACTCACAATTCTCGTGGTGGAATATGGCCTTCGAAAACAAGGGAAGGACGGGAAAGTTCAATTGTTCGCATTGAAGATTTTCCTATTTCATGCATACGTTAAATATGCATTAAACTGGAGGAACTATTTCATTTTCTTTTTCAAACAGAACCAACACCATACATAAACGATTATATTTCAATGCCAACTTTTTTGTAAAACTAATATGTAATATAGGGCAATTAACGCCAAATACTTTATATATATACATATGAACATTACTTTAGGTAGGTTTAGTTAATTCACAATAGGTTTCAGGTATTAACCAAACATTTCTGTCTCTCTGTCGCTTTATGCGGCCT